CCAGAGAGGGAAGCGCCATTGTCTGAGCCAGCTGCAACTTCGCAGCTGTACGTGAGCACAGCTGGAGGCCGGTCAGGAAGGAACTGTTTCTGGTGCTGCTTGGCAGGGTTGTTATTTCTGGGTGTTTTCTTCGGTAATGTGTCGGTATTTCTGCCAACCGCCTGGAGGTGCGGTGGGAGACCGACTCGTGGTGGGTCGGAATCCGTAAATCGTCCGATTTTTCAGGGAGGGAGAAACCTCCCTTCGGACCTTGCCTGGGAATTTCGGTTGTGCAAAAGCGCGCTGCTGTTAGAGGTTGCGTTCCTATGGTGTTCTCCATATATGTCCATCTGGGTCAAATGCACGCAAAATATGCGCAGCTCTGACCGATGGGGGTGGCCGAATAGATTTTGCACCTTCAGCAGCGCCTTGGTTTGGATGGGTGGCCCTTTGGGGACCTTCCGATCCCTGTTTTCTTCCTGGAAACTTGGAATCTGATATTTTCGATAGTGATCTTCCGGTAAAGACTCCGCTCTGGGGCATCAGAAACGCTCTGCTTCCTGTTGAACTTTGCAAGTTGGTTTACGTTTCTGGGGTGCTGCTCCAAGGGGTGCGTGTCCCTGGATAACTTAATGGTGGCTTGCGAAGGGCTCTTCATGTCCTGGAATTCCCTCTCCCGGGATTCCGTCTGGATGCCGTGAAAGGGGAATGCGGTCTGCACATGCTTAAGGGGTCCCCGTGGCTGTCATCACGCCCTGGCCACGCCAGTAACTGTTCTGGCATCTCCCTGCCTCTTCTGGCTGCGTTACGTTGTTTGGATCAGGGCTTTGAGAAATGGGTCCAGTTTGTTCCGTTCAAGAACCATTATTATGCTTTTAATAGGAACTTGCACCGCTTAGATTGATCACGGACACGTTTTTCAGAGCTTGCTGCCCGTAGAGCTGAAGATAGGAAGGAAGCAGAGTCTGCAAAACATTTCTGCCACTATGAAACGTATTCCTTTTTACTTGGGGCTGGTTTCATAGAAGTCTCAGTTTGGATTTTTCCCTTCCTGCTCAACAGACAGGCTTGATTATTTCTCTGGAGTTTCTCCCTAGAGACTTCCGCTCTTGATTTCTGTCAACCAAGGAGTTAGGAAATAATGTGGAATCGAATACAATAATTCTTTACTACACGCAGAATCCTCTCCATTATCCGAAATGTCTCAGAAGGCACCAGGTTGGGGAAGACTGTTTTAAACTGTAGTGCTTTTAAAACTGAATTTTACAGGGAGGTTCCCTTGGTTCAAAACATAGTATTTACTGTCTCAAGATGGCCCTTTGAAAAAACCAGGAAGGAGATGTTGATCTGACTTCATGGCCACACACCCTTGTGCTGTTCACAGCTGACGCCGCCTCGACTTTTTATGCGCGTGGACACAAATATCCAGACGTGGGGAACAGACTTCCATTTTTAAAATCCATCTTCCAGTGAATTGGGAAACTTTCTTGGGGTTTTCATTCTCACGTGCTCTCCCAAGAGCCTCACGTTCCATCAGACAAACTTACACAGACCAAACTTCTGTTTTTCCTGGTTATTCTAGCAAATCCGGTTTGGCATATGCCAAGACTTGGAGAGCTAAAAAAAATCCACTGTAGGTTTGATCAGACAGGCTGTTTGTTAAACTGCATAGCCTTGTTTGGAATAAGATCCCCCCCCCCCAGCTGCTGATTTAATTTTTTTTCTCAATGGCTGCGCCCTTTTCAGCAAGTAAGGAAAACCTACATTTCATGCCAGTGCTGCATTCTAGTAAAACACCCACTAAAACCCTTTGTTTACTCCAAGGTTGCCAATCGCTTCTGAATTTGCTTTCTAGCAGGAAAGTATTATTATTATTATTATTATTATTATTATTATTATTATTATTATTATTATTATTTGCAACGTTTGCCTCAAAATACCTGGTCTGAGATTTATGGCTCTAAGTTGCAGATTGGAGATCGGTTGTCTTACAGCACAACACATTTATTTAGCTATGAGCCCTCCCCCAGTCTGTGTGGGATTTCCCTGCAAAATGTATGTAGGAGGTCTGTTTTAGCAAAACATTCCAGTCATAGCCTAAATACCCCAAACTTCATTGTTGGTGCTCCTATCCAATTATTGGGTGGGTACGTAGGTAGGTAAACCTTTATTACGGTCTTTGACCAACATGTCAATTGGTGGGGTGATCATATTCCCTTGAGAATAATCTTCTTCTCCTCCCCCTCAGGTTTAGAAGAGAGATTTGGAGACCATTCCAGTGAGGAAAGGTTGTCTCCCCCCCCCCACCCCACAAAGTTTATCTCCTATATAAACACA